AACTGCCGAATCAAATCTAATCCCCACATGTTTTCCGAACTGAATTCCACTCCAACTCTGTCAGCCAACCAAAAGGATCCTGAAAAGAACGAATTGGCCCTAATCAGAAATGCACTTCACTACAAAAAGATTCCTCTATACCCGAATTAACAAAGATCACCTCACACTCCACCTCAAACTCAGCACAAGATCCACCCCGCACTTTGGGACAAATCCAAACAACTCGCCGTCTGGAGAGCCGAAACACAGACCACCCTCAAGACAGATACACACACCAACAAACTCTGAAGACTACAAGAACGCCAGAAACAAAACCCCTCCTCACTCACAGCCACACATGAAACAAACAGTGCATAACATCTCAGATAGGATCCTCACCAAAGCCGAAACCAATGTCCTTTCCAAAGGATTCAACTTTGCAGTCGCTCCCAAACACATCCCCCCTGAAACCATTATATGTGGAGTTGAAACCAGCCTGACCAAAATCAACCCCGATGACGCTAACAAAATCAGACTCAAAATCACCAACATCCTCTGCACCAGCAAGCCACCCAAAAGCAACTTACCCAAAGAGGCACAGACAGCACTACGTAACCTGAAAGAAGACACCAGCATAATAATCCTACCAGCAGACAAGGGCAATGCCACAGTGGTTATGAACACATCTGACTACCAAACCAAATTAACCAACCTACTCAAAGACTCCACATACAAACCCCTAAACACAGATCCCACCACCTACCTGGAAAAAAACCACTAGATCCAAAATAAAAGCCTTCCCCATTAGCGAAGAGATCCAGCAAAGAATCATTCCCAGAGAGAAATCATCCAGATGCCCCAAACTCTATGGTCTCCCCAAGATACACAAGGAAGGAACCCCACTCAGACCTATAGTCAGCTCCATATGCTCACCTCTACAAAACCTAGCCAAATTTCTCGCCAAACAACTACAGCCCTATGCAGAATCCATCACCTCACCCGTAAAAAACTCATTCCAGTTTATAGAGATCATAAAGAAACAAAACTTACAGCCCAGCGACCTACTAGTGAGCTTCGATGTCATATCCCTCTTCACCCAAGTGCCTATCAAAGAAGCCTTGACAGCTATCCAAAACAAATATAACCCCCCCAAACACATCTTAGATCTGACCAACCACTGCCTATCCAACACTACTTCATCTATAATGGACAAAAATACAAACAAACAGAAGGAGCACCCATGGGATCACCCCTCTCACCTGTCATTGCAAATCTCTACATGGAACACTTTGAAACCCAAGCTCTAGAAAAATCGGATCACAAACCCAAACTCTGGCTCAGATATGTAGAACGACACCTTCATAATCGTCCACATGGGAAAGAAAAACTGGACAACTTCCTCACACACCTCAACAGCCTACACCCAAAATACAGTTCACCATGGAACAGAAGCTAACAACCAACTTCCTTCCTGTATGTCTTAAGTCTACCAGAAATCCAATGGCTCCCTAGGACACACCATCTACCAGAAGAAACACACACAAACCTCTATCTGCACGCTCTCTCAACACCACCACCCAGGGCACAGATCAACTCTGTAGCCAAGACACTCATCTCCAGAACAAAACGCTTAGCTGACGAACACCCCTAAAACCCGAACTACACCACTCTCACCAATGTACTAACATCCATGGATTCCATAGAAATCGATTACAAACCTAATCCAAAAAGAAACCACCCACCACATCCAAGACAGAGAACAAGAAAACGGCGAAGCCCTCCTCCCATACATAAAAGGCACCACAGACAGAATCAGTAAGATCCTCCACAAACACAACATTAAACAGCATTCTGCACAAACAGAAAAATATCCACCATCTTAAGAAACCCCAAAGATAAAATTGAATTAGAAAATCAAGGAGTATACGAAATCCCATGCACCACTTGTCCCACCACATACATCGGACAAACCAACAGAAGAATAAGTGCACGCATTGAAGAACATAGAACTCAGTCAAAAAAGAGGAACCAACATCTTCCCTGGTCCAACACCTTAAAGCCACAGGACATGAAATTGACTTTAAAAATACCAGAACCATTGCCAAAAGTGAACATTTTAATAACAGAATAATCAGAGAAGCCATCGAGATAGAAAAACGCCCACACAGCATGAACAAGCGAGATGATACCTCCCGCCTACCAGCCATTTGGAAACCTGCCCTTATTGACAAACGACTCCCTAACCCCAAAATCTTAAACCCCTCTGCAACTCAGATTAACCTGAGCACAACCAAACAGAACACTCCCCCAGCCAATCAGAGCACAGCCAAGCCCCTAACCATTCAGAACACCCCTCCACCCAATCAGAACACAGCCAAGCTCCCATCCAATCAGTTCATACCCTCACTGGCAGTTAAAAGGAAGAAACAGCTAAAACCACACATTGCTGCTCAAAGCAAGAAGCTGAAAACACCAGCCTGAAGATGACGAATGTGACTTCGTCGAAACGTTGCCAAGACACTTCCAATTTTACGCGGGAGAAAACCCGAACAACCAAAGACCTATATATATATATATATATATATATATATATATATATATATAAGATCTACACAAACCAGAAAGCAGCAGCAAAAGCTGACCTACCAACAATGTAAGAAATCTCCCCAACAATCCCAAGGATGTGCTACACATCCAAAACCTGGATGAGGAACCACCATTTTCATTAGGTCATCTAAAATCCACTATCACTGGGGTGGGGGAAAGACAGGGAGGGAGACCACACTTCTCCAGGTAGGAAGCTACATCATTTCCATTTAATTTTAAGGCTGATTAAAAGTCCAGGTGAATGCAAGTTCCTTCTGGAACATGTACATTTAGGGAAGGCTATATCATGTCTTTCACTATGTAATACAATACCCTATAAAAGCAATCTTATGCCATCTTACTGTGTGTCACATGGCATGAACTTTTTAGTTCAATTTATTAAAGTTTTAATCTGACATCTGCGGAGCTTAAAATAGCATACAGTGAGGGAAATTATTTGATCCCTGCTGATTTGTATGTTTGCCCATGGACAATGAAATGATTGGTCTATAATTTTAATGGTAGGTTTATTTTAACAGTGAGAGACAGAATAACAAAAACAAATCCAGAAAAATGCATTTCAAAAAAGTTATAAATTGATTTGCATTTTAATGAGTGAAATAAGTATTTGACCCCTTTGCAAAATGTGACTTAGTACTTAGTGGCAAAACCCTTGTTGGCAATCACAGAGGTCAGATGTTGCAGTTGGCCACCAGGTTTGCACATATCTCAGGAGAGATTTTGTCCCACTCCTCTTTGCAGATTCTCTCCAAGTCATTAAGGTTTCAAGGCTGACGCTTGGCAGCTCGAACCTTCAGCCCCCTCCACAGATTTTCTATGGGATTAAGGTTTGGAGATTGGCTAGGCCACTCCAGGATCTTAATGTGCTTCTTCTTGAGCCATTCCTTTGTTGCCTTGGCCATGTGTTTTGAGTCATTGCCATGCTGGAATACCCATCCACGACCCATTTTCAATGCCCTGGCTGAGGGAAGGAGGTTCTCACCCAAAATTAGACAATTCATGGCCCCATATATCATTCCTTTGATGCAGTGAAGTTGTCCCGTCCCCTTAGCAGAAGAACACCCTCAAAGCATAATGTTTCCACTTTCATGTTTGATGGTGGGGATGATGTTCTTGAGGTCATAGGCAACATTCCTCTTCCTCCAAACACGGTGAATTGAGTTGATGCCAAAGAGCTCGATTTTGGTCTCATCTGACCACAACACTTTCACTCAGTTCTCCTCTGAATCATTCAGATATCCTTTGGAAAACTTCAGATGAGCTTGTACATGTGCTTTCTTGAGCAGGGTGACCTTCCGGGCACTGCAGGATTTCTGTCCTTCATGGTGTAGTGTGTTACCAATTGTTTTCTTGGTTTCTGGTCCCAGCTGCCTTGAGATCATTGACAAAATCCTCCCATGTAGTTCTGGGCTGATTCCTCACTGTTCTCATGATCACTGAAACTCCAGGAGGTGAGATCTTGCATGGAGCCCCAGACCGAGGAGATTTGACAGTTATTTTGTGTTTCTTCCATTTGCAAATAATCGCACCAACTGTTGTCACCTTCTCACCAAGCTGCTTGACGATAGTCTTGTAGCCCATTTCAGCCTTGTGTAGGTCTACAATCTTGTCCCTGACATCCTTGGAAAGCTCTTTGGTCTTGGCCATAGTGGAGAGTTTGGAATCTGATTGAGTGCTTCTGTGGACAGGTGGCTTTTATACAGGTAACAAGTTGTGATTAGGAGCACTCTCTTTAAAGAAAGTGCTTCTAATCTCAGCCCATTACCTGTTTAAAAGACACCTGGGAGCCAGAAATCTTGCTGATTAATAGGGGATCACATACTTATTTCACTCATTAAAAGGCAAATTAATTTATAACTTTTTTGAAATGCATTTTTCTGGAATTTTTTGTTGTTGTTATTCTGTCTCCCACTGTTAAAATAAACCTATCATTAAAATTATAGACTGATCATTTCTTTGTCAGTGGACAAACGTACAAAATCAGCAGGGGGTCAAATAATTTTTTCCCTCACTGTACATAGTGATCCTTGCTCCTCTTTTTTTTCCCACAATGACAGCCTGAAAAGTTTATTATCTGCTGAATCCCTAATCGGTCACTTAAGTGGGCGGGTGGTTTGGAATTCCCTCCTTATTACAGTCATGTGGCTCTCTCACCACAAAAGGTCATCCAGCTTTTCCCCAACCTGGAATATCCAAATTATTGATATGTGATAATAAGTTAGAGAGAGGCACTCTGTATACGTTCTAGGACAGACGTTTTTTAAATAGTTCTAAAATGGATCTGGGACACAAAAGCAATTCAAGGACGAGGCAATCTCTGCCAACCAGGCACAGGCAATGGAGCAAAGCGGATCTTGATCTTCGGTTGAGACAAGTGGTCCCCGAGAGGCCTAATGCCCCGCATCTCTTCTCACCTCTGTGTAGCGCCTTTCCAAAGCGGCGATTGACTCCCTCTCCACTTCCCACTCCGGTTTCTTTTGTTTGCGCTGTTGCCGCTGCTTGTCTTTGCGTTTGGCGTACCTCTTTTTCCAACGCTCGAAGTTGCGCACCGGGTCGGCGTCCGAACCCGACACGACTCTCCGACTCTCCTCCATCCCTTCTCGGTGGAATTGAGGACCAGAACACGCTGCCAAAGGAAAGAACGCGACGCGAAAGGAACCGGGCGCATAGAGATGACATCACAGGCAAGCTCCTCCCTCCTGAAGGAGGGGTAGTCCGAACTTCCAGCTGGATCGCGCATCATGCAACGATTGGCTGCGCGCCTTGCCGTTTTATATTAGCAAGAATAATGTTTGTTTAAGGTTCTTACTATTGGATTGTGTTGCATCCAGTATTGTACACCACAGCCATTAAGATCTGATTGTTGTGCTTGTTATTGTGTTGGATCTGACATATTGTACGCGTTGCATTTAATCGGTGCTTGTCAGACTTTTTGTTTACTTGTCCATCTGTAAATTTTTATTAGAAAGTCCTTTATCCATGTAGATAAACACTTTTAAGTAATTTAAAAGTCTCTATTGTGACCAATGGTGTATGTGTGATTAACCAAAGAATTATTTTTTTACCCAAATTTGGATGATTTATTTGGATAATTTACCCAGGTTTGGGAAGCACTGTATTTGATGATTGTGCACTATAACTAAGCTAAAGCTAAGCTTAACCTAACCTAACCTAACCTAACCTTTATTGTAATTTTTTTACTGTGGGCACACGGTACACAACAAAAATGAAATTTAGTTGCCCACTTTCAAAGTGAACACTTACATGACACACACCTAAACATACTATATACAACATATGTATACACCCACACCCTACATATGCATCACAAATAAATATTAAATACTGTCCATCTTGAATATATAACGAAGGAGAAAACTTGAGAGTTCACAAGGTTAATGTTGTATGGAATGAAACTATGGCTGAATCTGGATGTTCTACTTCAGATACCACAGAGACTCCTCCCAGAAGGTAACAAGGAAAACAGGTCGTGAAAAGGATGTGTAGTGTCCCAGGCAATCTTGTGGACCCTACTCAAGCAACGCTTCTGTGCTATGTCCTGGATGGGAGGGAGGGAACTGTCAATGATCTTTTCGGCCACCCTCACCACTCTCTGCACCGCCTTCCTGTCTGAAGCAGTAAGTAGTCTGAAGCTATGCTTCATTGTAGAGTAAATATAAAATACAGATAGTCCTTGACTTACAATTATTCATTTAACAACCATTCAAAATTATAACAGCACTGAACCTCGCACTTACAACCATTATACATCCCCATGGCTTGGTAATCAGCTTGTATTTATGATGGTTGCTGTGTCCCGGGGTCACATGACCTTCCCAGGCAACTTACAACAAGCAAAATCTATGCAGGAAGCCAAATTCACTTAACGATTGTGATTTACTTAACTGGACTGATTTGCTTAACAATGGAAAAAAGATTGTAAAGTCAGGCATGACTCATTTAATAACTGCCTTGTTTAGCAACATATATTCTGGTCCCAATTGTGGTTGTAAGTTGAAGACTACCTATATATAATTTGAAGGAGGGCTACTTCCTACAAGTTCTGGGGGCAGAAAAGTCAAGGGCTGGACCTGGATAACATTTGAATGGGAGGCCATCAGAAATAGAACTGAGAAATCAAAAAATCATCACATTGATGTCAAACCACTTCCATATTATTATCAAGAAAAGTTAATGGATATGCCCATCTTATCAACTGAGTTATCAGCTCTAGGTAACCTTAAGCTCTTTATTGTTCACAACCAAAATGAAATATGGAAAGAAATAATAGAAAAGTGGCTACGGGCATTCTAACTTAATTTCGTATATGCTCATAACAAAGCACAGTATAAACCTGGAATGAAACAGTAATTGATATCAGTAACAAGAGGAATTATGCAACTATTATGTCATAACCTGTTTTGGAAAAAAGTCATTTCTTGGCTTTAGAAGTCAGTTTCAGCTGAATTCCCAGTGGGTGTCAGTCCCACTATGTAGACCACTACATGAAATCAACTCCACAGGATATCTATATTTCATTAGGCTATAATATTAGGATCTTGCAAATCTAATTGTGCTGTACCTGTTTGATGAATTAGGGAGATATCTGAGCCGCTGCCACATATTACCTTGCTTTTCTGTACAGTACTTAACAAATACTTTAATCCCTTTTGCCTGGGGCAGTTTTTTTCAACTTCAGCAATTTTAAGATTCTAGCTGTTTCTGGGAGTTGAAATCCACGTAAGGTTGCTGAGGTTGAGCAACATTGATCTAGGCCAGGGATCCCCAACCCCCAGTCTGTGGCCCAGTACTGGTCCACAGCATATTAGCAACCAGTTGGCACAAACAAGCAAAGCCCCATCCGCGAGATGCAGGCAGCACACAAAACCACGCACTCTTCGGTCTGTGGAAAAACTTCTCTCCATGGAACCAGTACCTGGTGCCCAAAAGGTTGGGGACCTCTGGTCTAGGCAATGGAGCATACATAACTCCATCAAGGCCTTCCTCCTTACTCTCGACATCAGTGTTTTTTAAAATTTAGCAACTTTAAGATTTGTGCACGTCAACTCCCAGAATTCTCTAGCCAAGGTACAGTGAATGGGCAATGATGTCAGCTGTTTGGGGTTGCATATCATCAAGGCTAGGACTTTGGGGGGGGGGGCAAAGGTTGGGTATTTCTTTTTAATTTTTCAATGGATTTTCTCTTTCAAAGTAGTTACAAACATCAGTATTAATATGGCAGTTGTGTTGCTGAACCACTAAAAATGTAATTGAAAAGGGCTTCAAGTTGCAAAAGAGTTTGAGAGCCCCAAATTGCTAAACTCTAGTCTAGAAATATTGTTGTCCTGCTGAACTGTAGCCCATCTCTAGAAGTGGCAACCCTGGTTGTAATAGCAATTTACACATATCAGTGCTCAGCTGTTAACCTTCACTTTTTAACTTCAGTTCTGTCAATCTACAATGAGGATCAATGAGATTAATATAGTCATTAGGTTACTCGGTGAATATTTTTGAGATCATGTATTTCATCATGTAAAAACAAAAATAATCTCATAATCTTTTGAAATCCATGCCATGCTTATTTTTAGAGTGGTCATGCTAATTTCTATGGTCGTAAACTGGATTAGAGACTTTCAACTGTTAATTCCCACAGGAATTACAATTCCCTGATAGCAGAGCTAGAGATCTCAACTGGAGATTTCAGAGCTTCTATCCAAACTTTAATTTTGGGATGTTTTGGAAAAAATCCTGGCCATTAAAGTGGGATGAAAACATATAAAGACTAGGTAACAAAAGGTTGGTGGTAATTTTGGGAAAGGAACTTGTTTTGAGGAGAGAAGTTGCAAAATGTTGAAGTTTCATACATGAAAGGATTGTGTCAGTATCATTAATAAAGCCAGAATGAGAAAAAATAGCACTGTTTTTTACAAGGGAGATAATATAAGGGAACCTCCGTCTATATCCAGAAGTGATAATAATTCCCAGATGACAGCAACTAGTCAGTTTTGGCTGATCCTGGAAAAGCTAAGGAGAACAGGATCCAATCTGGGTCAGTCACCAGGGCCAGAGGTTTTTAGTCTTCCGAGCTTTTGGAGTCATGCTGGAGCGGAATGTGTATTCCTGTAGAGAGAAGTTCCTCAGGATGGACTCCAGCACAAATCCAAAAGCTTGGAAAACTAAACCACTGGTCCCGGTTATCGTGCAACATTATCCTAGGAGACGTATATCTGCCTTCTTCCTAAGGAGAACACGAGAAGTCCTAGACCTATAGCCCAGAGATTGTAAAGTATAAATTAAATCTCCCCAAAAAGTCATTTTATTTATTAAATTTCTACACCACTTATCTCACCTGACTCTGAGCGGTTTACAACAACATAATAAAACAATATAAAAACATTATGTGACATGATGGTAAATATGGAGATGGTGATATTGCCAGGATAATAATTTGGACATGTCAATGTACCGTAGTCATCATGAGTCAAGCTGAATTTGAGGGAGGCTTTTCTAAAGTTAGTAGTGAAAAGAATGTAAGTTCTAGGTAAATAGGGAAGCATTTGTTTTTACATATGTAACAGGATAATTTAGATTTAGCAATAGTCCATCTGGCATATGGTTCAGCTGTGACTAAAAACGTTGCAAATTAAAGAATATTTAATTCCCAAGCTAAAGGCAACAAAACAGTTAATATTATTCCAAGGAAATGTTTGCATCTATCTCAAATTAGGGAATGATGAATAAAGAGAAAGAGCTGCTAATCCTGAGTCCCTGGAAGCACGGGTATGCAGTGATGGGTGTGGTTATGCCGCACCCAGGGCAGAGTTAGGCATGCAACAAGTAATGGAATACTTCCCAACAAAAGACTGAGTGAAAAGTAGAGAAATGGACATATAATGAGACTGGACAAGATTGGCATTTTATCCTGGCCTGTTTAACTACAACTCTTAAAAAATGAATTGGCGATTATTTCTGGCCACATTTTTTAAAATTTATTTTCTTTCTTCAGTGGCTGCAGGGAATATGGCAGCAGCACGAAAGTATCTTTATCTGGTGAGTGCATAAGTCAAAATTCGTTATAAAAAAATTAGAAAAGCATGCTGCTAAATTTCAGACATGAGATATTGGGGGGGGTCTGTGTCTTTGTGATCAAAAGTCAGGATAGCTCCTGCAACCACACAATCAAAGCTCTTTCTTTTTATGTACATCAATCATCTCGACACCTCTCCCCCCATCAATGAATATACTTCAATGTTCTACTCCATTGCACTTTTCCCAAAAGGACAATTTCGATAGCAATAGCCCTTAGATGAGTGGTGGGATTCAGCCGTTTCGCCCCAGTTCAGCAGAACCGGTAGATAAATTTTGTTGAGTTTGGAGAACTGGCTGAATACACACTGCTTCTGGAAGTCCGTTCTAGGCCTCGGAGGCCTGGAGAAGGCCTTCCAGGCCTAGAACAGCCCACTGGAAGTGTGTGGATGACACTTCCGGAAGTCTGTTCTAGGCCTTGGAAGCCCAGGCCTGCATCCACACAGAGAACTGGTTGTTCAGGTATTTGAATCCCACCACTGATTTAGACTTATACACCGCTTCATAGTGCTTTTACAGCCGTAAGTGGTTTACAGAGTCAGCATATTAT